AAAAAAAAAAAGGCGTAGCAAAGCCGTCAAACCATTTGGCTCGGCTCGACTTATGAACAGTATTGGGAAAAGTGAGTCTTTTATTTATGTAGGAAAACCATGTGCGGAAAGCTTTAATGAAAAAATAGTACATTATTATTTTGAATAAGCTATTAAATTTGCCTCGTTAAAAAACTTTGTCACGGTCATTTGAGATTAGTGCATCGCCACCCGTTAACGTCACTTTCTATATATTTAAAAAGAAAAAAAAGCAGCAAAACAATAAGCAAAACCAAAAATACTAACATAAATCACCATTTCGGAAAATAAGAAATGAATAAATCAAATTGCTTTCGTAGAGAATAAGAACTTGTTCTCTTTACCATTTTCAAACCATTTTCTGTTTTCGATTTTTCAAAACAGTGAAAACGCGTTATTTTTCATATTTTCGAAAACGCGTTCTCTTTCCTATTTTCGAAAAAAGTTTTTGAAAAAAATTAAAAATTTACAAAGAAAACTCAAAACGACAAATTTGTCATTTTGAGTGTTTTCAGTTATAATCAAGTCAAAATTTTCAACACGCGTTTTGGGTATTTTCAAAGTAATTTTTCAAAATGCCAAAAAGAACACATTTTCAACAATCTCAAAATGGACACTCAAAACCCAAAATGAATTCAAAACTCAAAACACAAAACTGAAATATAAAAAGAACAGTCCCTAAATTTTTAGATGGTGAAAAATGAGAATCGCCTTTTCGAAAAGTACGTATAGTAGAAAATTACATAGAGAAAATGGTTGGGAGATAATTACGAAAGGTTGTAGATTTAAGAATTCCTAGTAGACGGCATTGAGAGTCGTCAGAGATAGTGGACGACTGTTGTTTATCAGTATATTTCATGAGTGGAATGGATATGAACTTCGAAATATGGTTTTTCAGTGGAAGGGATCGACATGGTGTTGTGCATGTTTAGCTCTGGTGGTGCGTGGTTATTAGAGAAAAAAGTAGGGGACGATGGAGTGGTATAATATCCGAGAGAATCACAGATAGAGAAGGCAAAAAAGAAAAAGAAAAAGGTGGGTGCTAGGGTAGCATAGGAAGAGAGAAGTGGTTTGATTTATGATTTTAAGAAGTATCTGAATTTTAAATGGAACCACACGTCTTTAGCCCTTGTTTGGTATCCATTAAAATCTAGATTTAATTGAAGTCAAAATCAACAATTAATTTTAACCACATATGGATCTCACAACTTTCCAATTAACACTTCATCAACATCTATTAAATTCTACTAAAATTTTGATTTTAATCTCCACCAAACAGAGGCTCAAGGTGTTTGACATATACAATTACAAAATTAAGAAATTTGTTTTAAAATTTCGAAAATCAGGTCATAAATAATAATTAAAAATATTTTACTAATTAAATATATTAAGGTTACAATATTATATAAATTATGGTCAAAGTTATGTACAGTCACAATCACAAAGCGCCGGTCACAAATTACACATTTTATAAAGTCACAACTTATTTATCAATCACAGATTATCAAATTAATTGATCGTGTGTTATTTCTCGATCACAATCACGAATTTTATAGGTCACAATTTATTTATCGATCACAAATGATCAAATTAATAGGCTAAGTATTATTTCATGGTCACAACTTATTTCACGATCACGAATTATCAAATTAATTTGTCACAACTTAACAAATTGTGATTCATGATTACAAATTTAATCCCAATCTCACATATTTTAGGTCGCAAATAATTGATTACAAACACTCTTCATCCCAATTCAACCCAACCCAACCTGATCCGATCCGACCCCAATCCAAATCCATCATTGGTACCAATCGAACATCATGGCACCTCACCACCACCGCCATCACCTCCCAAACCATCACCACTTCCACCACCACCACCACTATTTGTAAAAAACCAACAACCACCAAAAAAATCACTCCAAAAATCATAGTGGTTGCGCAAAAACCTCGAATTAGATCACATTGCCGTTGCGTGTGCACGATGCTCATACTATGCCATGCACATCGGAGCTTCCGGTGATGAGAGAGAGAGAGAGAGAGAGAGAGAGAGAGAGAGAGAGAGAGCGAGGTCGGTATGTAGGTTAATTTAATTTTTGGAATATTAGTATGTTGAATTATCACATATTTTTGAATAAATTTTTTTAAAACCTAATATATAATTTGGGAAGTTATAACCCATTGCGAGTGTAATTTTTCACATTTTAAAATTATATTACATTTGCATGTTTTTTTTTTTCTTTTTAATGTAATTGTAAGATTGCCCTGATTTCCTCTCTCTAAAAGAGGTAGTTATACCATCCACTTTGATAACTTCACAAATTCCAAACTTATTTTTTATTCTTTTTTTATTACATACTGGATTTTTTAAGTATATACATATCGAGCTCGACACCATTATTCGGTTATTCCCATCATCAAGCAGTGCCACGACAACTACCGTCATGTATCACTATCACTATCACCACCAACATCTTCAACATATACCATCTTTGACGACAGTGCAATTTTAGCTATGAAAATCGTACCATCATCCACAGTGGTGTGTGATCATGCAGATCTCATTTATGGGAGTGTTGTGAGGAGTTTTCACCAATGATGATGGAATGATTGAGTTTTTGTTGGAGCTCTCTTGCTGTGTAAGTTTTTAGCCTGATTTTGTTTTTGTGGGAGGAGGGTTAGGGATCCACTATTGTTGCGGCGTGTGATGGGATGGTGGTAATGTAATTGTAAGATTGCCCTGATTATGGCGACGTCGCTGCTACGCTCGATCTATATTTAGTACTGGAGGCAACAACTACAAGGCTCCGTAGTGTGCAACGATGCTACTTTGTCACGCGCGACGACCACGGCTTGCGGTTACGTCATGCCAGAGGAGCGACGTCGGAATAGAGAAGTGTCGAGTGGGTGAAGAGAGGGATAAACAGAGAGAGAAGATGGATAGGAAATGAATTAGAGTTTGAGAGTTTAATTAAGTTGGGGTGGATGTGGTGGTGTGTGTAGATTAATTTAATTTTATAATAATATTATTAATATTTAAAATTATATTATAAAATTAAATTATCACCTGATTTTTGAATAAAAATGTTTTAAAATTTATTTTTGAATTGGGAACTTAAAAATCAGGTGTGGGTGTAATTTTTACATTATTTTATTGGTAGAATGTGTGAGTGAAAATAAGTTTGGAGAAAAATGAATTTTTAAATAATGTGATTCAAATTCGGGCTTAATTAAATTCTTTACTTTGTAGGCCTGACTTCTCACAAGGGCCCAGTCCGATTACGGTCGGTTTGCGCGCGGGCTTAGACAGGCAGGGCAAAGGGAAAAGTTTATGGCTCAGGTATTTAGTATGACATTTCAAAAAATCAGGTGCTAAACTTTAAAATTGTCAAAATCAGGTTTCTACTTTTTATTAATTAATTAAATATTTAATTGTGTAATTTGATAGCGTATATCTTATTAATTAGTTAAAAATTAATTTCAGGTCATAGCTTATCAAATTAATTGGTCTCGGATTATTTCAAGGTCACAGATGAAAAAATTTATAGGTCATAGTT